ATATAGAAAAGTAATTTAATATATATAAATGATTTATATACCATCAGGTCGGAACTAGCACATAGCTGACTCACCAACGGGTTTTCAGAGGCAGTTAATCACATGGGAGGAGATTGCCCATCCTTTCCTGCAGAGCAGTTAGTGGCCTAGTACCTTGTGCCTTTGGGATTTCAGTGTGGCTTCTTGCCACAAGGCCATTCATTAGAGTGTGCTCTCGCTCGCTCTCGCTCTCTCTCTCAATACACACACACACACACACACACACACAGAGAGAGAGAGAGACAAAGAGAGAGAGAGAAAGAGAGAGAGAGAGAGACTTTGTTTCTCATTACAAATTAGCACAAATTTGAAGAGGAAGATCCATTACTTATTGCTTGCATCTTATGCTGGGAAAGTTAGCAGATTAGAGGAGAAGAAGACCCTCAAGAGGTAGATTGACACAGTTACTGTAACAACGATCATGAGGACAGTAAAGGATGGGGATTTATTGTTCACAGGATCCCTCTGAGTCATAGTCCACTCAATGACAGCCAACAACGATAGTAACAAATTGTACTCTTGTAACAAAGTTCAATAAGGTTGCCGATTTCGGATTGAGGATTTGGTAGGAGACACAACAGGGAGATAGTTCAAATCTACAAACTAACAACACAACAACAAAAGAACATATCTTGACCCCTTTGGCCTGAAATATTTCCTGGTACTTATAATTTAGTATAAAGGATTGTTGTGTAGAGAACTTTCTTAGTAATCATTGATGAAAATAATTGTATTAGTTCACACTTTACACTGTGGGGATTCCATCAAGGGAGTTTTCCATTGGTGATATATATTTAGCTGGAAATGACTTCGGACATGATAGATATAGATTTCATAAATAGGAGGTGATCCTTCCATAGCTCTATTACAATCATATCGGTGGCTATTGCAAGGAAGAACTGTACAGGTAAAATAATAAAATACTTAGAGCAAAAGGAGATTTTCCTCAAATTAAAAATATTGGATTTATATTAATTGGATTCAATCTCAGTAATCTTTGTGAAACATACATTTTGTTGGATATTTTTAATAGAATGCATTTTGTATATATAGGTAAAGTAGAAAATTTAAAAATTAGTGTGTGTGTGTGTGTGTGTGTGTGTGTATTTATAAATGTGTGTATGTATATATGTGTGTGTGTGTATTTACATGCAATTGTTTGGTAAATTTATATGTACGTGGTTGCGTGTCTGTGTTTTAACAGGAGTACTGAAAATTGGAATCCTGTATTCTCAGTGATAACCAGGAACTATCCCCTGCGTTGTAAACAGCCATATTATGAGCAGCAGCGCGCCCCCAGTGCAGCTCTGCTATGAGAACGTGAGCGGATCCTGTGTCAAATCTCCTTACTCGCCTGCGCCCCGCGTGATGCTATATGTGGTGTTTGGCTGTGGCGCTGTGCTGGCCATGTTTGGAAATCTCCTGGTGATGATTTCAATCCTGCATTTCAAGCAGCTGCACTCTCCCACCAATTTCCTGGTCGCCTCCCTGGCCTGCACTGACTTTCTGGTGGGGGTGACAGTGATGCCCTTCAGCATGGTCAGAGCAGTGGAGAGCTGCTGGTACTTTGGGGAGACCTTTTGTACTTTTCACACGTGCTGCGATACAGCCTTTTGCTACTCTTCTCTCTTCCACTTGTGCTTCATCTCCATCGACAGGTTCATCGCTGTTACTGACCCTCTGGTCTACCCTACCAAGTTCACGGTGTCTGTGTCAGGATTCTGCATCAGCATCTCCTGGATCCTGCCCATCGTCTATAGCGGAGCCGTGTTCTCCACAGGAGCCAATGATGATGGGCTGGAGGAATTATCTAGTGCCTTAAACTGCGTGGGTGGTTGTCAGGTAGTTGTAAACCAAAGCTGGGTCTTGATAGATTTCCTATCCTTTTTTATACCTACTCTTGTTATGATAATTCTCTACAGTCATATTTTTGTTGTGGCAAGACAACAGGCTAAAAAGATTGAGACTACTAGCAGCAAACCAGAGTCATCATCAGAGAGTTACAAAGCCAGAGTAGCCAAGAGAGAGAGAAAAGCAGCTAAGACCCTGGGAATCACAGTGGTCGCATTTATGATTTCATGGTTACCATACAGCATAGACTCATTAATTGATGCCTATATGGGCTTCATAACTCCTGCGTACATTTATGAGATTTGCTGCTGGGCAGCTTATTATAACTCAGCCATGAATCCTCTGATTTATGCTCTCTTTTACCCATGGTTTAGGAAAGCTATAAAAGTGATTGTGAGTGGTCAAGTTTTTAAAGAGGGTTCTGCAACCATGAATTTGTTTGTTGAACATATGTGAACCAGTGGATTAAGGAAGTTAAAGACCCCTTTACTAATTCTTTTCCAAATGGAATGGTTTTATTTTTAAAAATTTGGTTAAGACTATTCATAAACAAGAGAGAAATTAATTGCTTTACAAATGAAATGGAATAAATGGGCTTAGTTTTCGGGTATTCTTATGTTTGCATGCCTCACTCACAACTACAAGGATATTTACTGGATGAGTAAACATTAAATTACTATCTGATAGCTCCCATCAAATGGAGCATACCCCACTCTTTGGAGGCATGCACTACTCCTTTCCCCTTTTTCATCTATACTTTTCTGTATTCTGGCATGCCAGCTGAAAACATCTTGGTTCTTATTCGATTCTCTTTCCTCTTTCCTCATGAAGTTTTCTACTGTCTCCCAACTCATGAAAAGTTTCATCTGTGAACAGAGCTCGCTGAGCTCTTGTTTTCCCAAAGGAGTTTGTTGGACAGCAGTTAAGTCTATTGTGCTTCATGCCTAACAAAAAAGACAGAGAATATTTTCTTGCAATACTATGTGCAACCTAGCCTGGCCAGTGTGTCTGGTACAAAGTTGTGAGAAACCTCTCAGTGTGTGAGGGCCATTCCCAAATGTAAACACCATTCTAGCCAAGCTACACATTGCTGTCATTTCTGCGTCATTGTTTCTTTCCCAATGTCAGATGCAGATGGTATCCTGTAGTACTGTTAGGATTATTATTTGACTCATCTCAATACTATACTGCTCAAAACTGTAGAAAAAAATAGTGCAGAGAGCACCCTGTGTTATCTTTCTCAGGTTATGTGGAATAATTTTTGTTTCTTCCTTAAAAATGGTATATCTTTAATACATACTCTTTAGTATCTATTTTAAACAGTGGAGAGTACAACCAAGTATTTGCAAAGTTTAGCAGACACTCCCTAAATCACTAAGATTGTTTCATCAGTAAAGGTAGCCTGGTATTCTCTGTTTCTTCTTCTTTTTTAATTATTATTAAATTTTATTAGTTTTAATGAACATTTACAGAGAGTTTGGATTTTAATTCATTCATTGTTGCACTGTTTTCTCTACCCTCCTTCCCAGTTCGTTCTTCTCCCCCCACCCCCGAATGTCTGTTTTAATTGTCCAATTGCCACAGTGCTTGTCAAAGCCAGTTCTGATTAATCTCCTTTGTCAGTGTGTCCTTTGCCATTCCCTATCACTCCTCCCTGAGATAGACTTCACCCTGATTCATAAGGAAAAGGAGATGGCATCTTCTCTTAGCTACTTCCTGCTGAAAAGGGACGCTGTAGGTTTCAGGGTGAAGATCTTCTCTCACTACTCTAAAGGGCCCCTTTGGCAGTAGGAAACACATAGACTATTATGGAGATTGATTTTGGAATTGGTTTTTCTTGTTATTATTGTTATGTGCAGTCAATTTGCCCATGACTCATAGGAACAATTTGTAACAAAGCTCTGAACCCTGTCCTATCCTGAGCCCATCCCACTGTCTCTGAAAACCTACCCCCCATTATTTCAGTTACTATGTCAATCCATCCCATCTGGGGTATTCCTCTTTTATGCTGTTCCTCCACCTTTCCAAGCATGATGTTCTTCTCCAAAGTCTGGTCCCTTCTGGCTACATGCCCAAAGTATGTGAGACGAAGCCTCAAAATCCTTGCCTCCAAGGAGCAACTTGGTTTCGCCCTCTCCAGGGCATATTTGTTTATTCTCTTGTCAGTCCATGGTATAGTCAATACTCTTCTCTAGCACCACAACTCAAATGCATTGATTCTTCTTCTGTTATCCTTATTCATAGTCCAGCTCTCTAATGCATATTAATTGATTGCAAAGACCATGACTTGGATCAGGAATACCTTAGTCTCTAGATTGACATCATTGTTCCTTAGCATTCTGGAGAGTTCCCTGACAGCAGGCTTTCCCAAAACAATTCATTTTTTTAATCTCCTAGTTGCTGGTACCAAGAGTGTTGATTGTGGAGCCAAGCAAACTGAAGCTGTTAACTATCTCAATCTCTTCATCATCTATCATGATGGTGCCAATTGATCCCGTGGTGAGAATCTTTGTCTTCTTGATTTTGAACTTCAATCCATATTGAAGACTGATGTCCTTGACCTTCTGCACCAAATAAGTACTTCAGGTTCTACTCAGTTTCAGCAAGCAAGATTGTGTCATCATAGCACAGGTTGTTGATGAGTCTTCCTCCATCCTGATGCCACATTCCTCCTCATAAAGTCCAGCCTGCCAAATGATCTGCTCTGCATGTAGACTGATATGTATGGAGATAGGATGCATTCCTGACTCACCCTTTTTCTGACTTTGAACCATGCAATGCTTTCTTCTTCTGTTCCGACAACCACTTTTTGGTCCAAATATACGTTTTCACATACACACATTTAAGTGTTCTTAGATTCCCATTCTTCTCAAGGTAGCCACAATTTACTGTAGTCTGTAGAGTCAAATGCCTTTGCATTTGAAACACAGATAGTCATTCCTCTGATATACTCTGATTTCAGCTAAGACTCATATAACATTGGCTATAATGTCCCTTGAGCCATGGGCTCTTATAAATCCCACTCATACATCTGATAGTTCTGTGCTATTCCAATTGTTTCTTGGATAATCTTAAGCAGGATCTTGCGTGTGTGTGATATTAGTGATACTGTTTGACAATGTCCAAACTGTCAGATCACTTTTTTTGGAATGGGAATATATATGGATCTCTTCAAGTCAGTTTGCCAGGTAGTTGTTCTCCAATTATATTGGCACAACCTGTTGAGCACATCCAAAGCTGCATCTGTTTGTTGAAATATGTCAGTTGGTATGACATCCATTCCTGGGTCTTGTTTTCTGTCAATTCCTTCAGAGTAGCATGAATTTCCTGTTTTATTACTATTGCCTCTTAATCAGATGTTATTTCAGTAAATTATTCTGTATTAGCCAATTCTTTCTAGCACAGAGACTCTGTGTACATTTTCCATTTTCTTGTGATGCTTCCTGGGTCATTCAGCATCCTGCCTATGATAAGTATTGCAATTTGAGGTTTGAATTTATCCTTCTATTCCTTCAGTTTAAGAAATGCTGAACGAGTTCATCCCTTGGATTTTCTGGCTCCAGTTCTTTGAACATTTCTTTTATCAAAAATAAGCCACATTCAATCCTGGGTTCGGCACAAAAAAAAAATCCACAAGCAGACCTTATACTGAAATCAGTGATATGGACATGAAAGTTAGAAATCCCGTTTTTGTCCTTAATGAGTTCTAATTCTGGCAAGAAATAGTATTTACAACAATGGAAACATCAATAAAAATGGAAACTTTGTTTTAGCCAAGGTGAACACCAACAGTGATGAAGCTTTGGTGACATAAGTCTTCGTCCTTAGTTTTCTTCATGCTGTCTCTCAAAGTGACCCTTTGCCCAGTTCTGGTTTATCCTTAGAGTCTCCACTACCCTTTGTTACAGTAATTGTGTTAATCTATGTTATTGAGGATTTTTTTTCTCTTTCACTGACCTTCTAACTTTCCAAATACTGTATCCTTCTCCAGGAACTGGACCCTCCTGAGTATATAAAATATATAATAATATATACTATATGATATATACTATATACTATATATATATATATATATATCTCAGCATTTTTCATTCCTTGATTTTCTTTCTCTAAACTCACAATTTCAGCCATATCAGAAGGAAACTTCCAGACAAGTTTCAATAATGGAGAATCCTGCAAAACGCCTGGCCAGTACTCCCAAAAGCTGCCAAAGTCCCCAAACAAGGAAAGTCTGGTAAATTTCCTCAATATTGAGAAGTCAAAAGGAGTAATTAAATGTCATGCATCCTGGATTGAATCAGGAACCAAACAAAAGGAGATTGGATGAAATTGGTGAAAATCTGGGGATTTTGCTATTAAGTCACTACTACGCTTATTGACTTTTCAAACAATGGAACTGTAGCCTGTCCTATGCTGTGCCATCCTCAACATCTTCGATGTGTTTCAGCTCATTGTTAGTCACTGTGTGAACGCATCTTGTTAGCATCTTCGTCTATTTCGCTGAGGCTCCACTTTTTCTAGCATGATGTCTTTTTCCAAAGATTAGCCCCTCTTAGCAATGTGCCAGAGTGTGTGAGACGAAGTTTTACCATGTTCGCCTCTAAGGATCACCTTGATTGCACTTCTTCCAAGAATAGACTTGTCATTGTAGCAGTCCATGAGATACTCAATACGCTTTCCCAACACCAGAATTCAGAAACATCAATGATCTTTGGAAAATAAAATTGTATTAATATTTACAAACATACCACACTGATGTTACTAGGTGTCATTGAGTATGACTTAGAGCAACTCACAGTTCAAAATCAGAAAAGAGGTACACTAGAGATGTTCCCTATTTCCATGTCTTTTCAATCTACATGCAGAACAGATCATCCAGGAGGCCGAGCTCTTTGAGAAGGAATGTGCCATCAGGACTGGAGGTAGACTCATAAACAATCTCCTTTGTGCAGATCACATAAGCCTGCTTACAGAAACTAAGGAGGACCTGAGTTGTTTGCTGCAGAAGGTCAAGGGCTGCAGCCTTCATTATGGATTGAAGCTCAACATCAAGGAAACAAAGATTCTCACCACTGGGATGATTTAGCAGCATTATTATAGATGGTAAAGAAAGGGATTGAGATTATTAAGAGCTTTAGTTTGGCTCCACAGCACCAGGAGCAAGGACATTTAAAGACAAATTACACTGGGAAAGTCTGTTGTCAAGGAGCTCTCCAGAGTACAGAAGAGCAACAATGTCAGTCTGGAGACTAAGGTGGGACTGATCCAGGCATAGTCTTTGCAATTTCTTACCATGCATCAGAAAGCTGGATAATGACTAGGGATGACAGAAGGAGAATTGATGTCTTTGAGTTGTGGTGCTGGAGAAGAGTATTGAATAAACCATGGACTGCTAGAAGCACAAACAGGTTAGTCCTGGAGAGGGTGTAACCAGGCTGTTCCTTGGAGGCAAGGAT